TCTTACCGTCCTTTTTTTTTTTTTTTTTCCCCCCCCCCTTCTTGAGATGTCTCATACTAGTGGAAACTTTCTGTGCTTCTCAACAATGTTGGAGACCAAGCAAAAGGTTCCTTAAACATGTGTTTTGAGTTAGTGTTATTAAATGGCACCTTGAAGTTCACCTGCTAGTGTTTCTCAGAGCAGTAACACTCCCAGCTGTGCTTTGAGTGGACTGGACTAGCAATTGTACTTGGTAGACTGCTTTCTTGTATGTTTATTATGCTGCATCCCTGCTTCGATGAGCCCTGCTTAAGCTTGTCATGCTGATAGTTGGCTAGACGGAATTGACTTTCACAAGTCTTTACACGTGTTAGAAATGCCACTGTGGTGACCCTAATAACGCTTTCAGAGCCTGCTTTGCATATTCCACGTGCTAGTGGGTGGAATTGCAGTAGTTCTAGGTGAGGATGTTGCAATGTAAAATTGGGGATTTGAGAGAAGAAACTGGCCCTGACTCCGTCTGTTTATCTGAAAGTAAATGTTTTCTTGTCTGTCTGGATGGATATTTCCTCTCTTGAGAGAACTTTAGGCCAAGCCTTTGTGTGCAGAGATTTCCCCACTCTGTGCCTGTGTGTTGGCATTCCTTCCTAGCAACAGGTTTTATGCAGTTTGAGACTCTTGATGTTGTCTTGCATAGATTCTCATGCTAGTGATACTAAAACTGTGTCTTTTTTATTCCTTCTCGTAGTAGTGTTTTCCTGATATGAGCATGTAAAAATGAGCTCATTGCCCTGAAGCTGGGTGGGAGAAATATCACATGGGGATTGACCTAGAGCAAAAAACATGGAGAAAACAAACAAGCCCCTCTGGGGAAAGCCTGAACTTGGTACTGTGGTGTCCAAATCCCAGAGGACCAGGGAAAGATCAACAGGGTAAAACAAGTTTTTTTTAGCATTTGCTGCTTGAGCCCCTGCTGTGCTCTATTGAAACCTGAGACTTTCTAAGAATAACTCTGCCTTTCCATGTAGGCAGGTTTGGTGGCTGTGACGGGACAGATTTGCACCCTTGGTGTTCTCTGCTCGCTTTCATTTCCTACAGCTGGAGGGGCAGGGCCGTGACACTGGCCCCCAGGAAAGGCTAGTTCTGCTGCCATGTCCCGGGAGAGTTCTTAAGGTCAGGTGCTTGGTGGTGTAGTATTCAGTGGTACTTGAAGCTTATCGCAGGCTTAGTGAAGGCTCCTGTTTGCTTTTGGTTGCTTTTGAGAACTGCTGTGCCATGGGATGAGCACAGTGTAATCAAGGTCTCCGTGCTCAGTTTGCCAGTAAGTTTCAGCCTTTTTCTTACCTCTTGGGGATTGGTGTGTAAATGAGCAGACAGAGGAATTAATTTGTACAATTCTGCAATAAAGGAGCAATGATACTGGATGACTGCTAGTTTGGACTGGCCCTTTGTGAGGCACTGTAACAGGAAAATGGCAGGCTTCTGAAATCTGTTATGCTGAGAGAGGCAAATGTGCCCTGGGTATGAGCTTCAGCTCCTGGATGGGATGAAATAACTGTGGGACCACTAGCAATGGTGGCTGCTGTTTTTTTTGTGATGTTTGTTACAACTATCAGATTATTCTTTTTTTCCCCCCCCCCACAGACTTCTGCACTTCCAGTGGCAGCACCTCATTCCAGCCCATTAAAACCCAAGTGACCATCCCTACAGCCCATGTCATGCCTTCCACATTGGGCATGTCGCCTTCCAAGCTCTGCTCCACAGGAGAGCCAAACCCTTTACAGAAGGTGCCATTATCATCAAAACCAGCTCTGTCAGCATCCTCCACTGAAAATGCAGGGCTGATGAGAAATGGAGACCCTCATGCTGTAAAATTGTCTCAAGGGCCACCCAGGGAGCTCCTGCAGCTCTATGGGACTTCCAGGGAAAACAGTTTTGAGCAGTCCTGGCTTCCCCATGCTGAGCACATGAGAGTGGAAGATAATCAGAAATTTGACATGCCTGCCCTTGAGTTCACCCTTAATCGGTCCCTTTGGATGGATAATCTGTGCTCTGATCCTCACCACAAGTTCCAGAAGTGTAATCCAAGCACCATTGCCACTGATGCAGTAAAGGAGCCTTATAAAGTGCTACCAGAGACGCAAACTGCACCTGGGGCTAGTGGAGTCTGTGAGCCCCGCAATGGGACATGGCCTCGTGGGAGCAGACCCACGCCATTAGGACTTCAGCCCAATAATGTCTTTTCAAAGCCAGGGGCTCCTCAGGCACAAGTGTGGAGGCAAGAACCTTGCACGTTGCATCCGCATGAGAGGGTTTGTGACCTCAGTGCTTGGAAGCATCAGCTGGACAACATCAGAGTGCGCACAGAACAGATGCAGGTAGGGAGATGTGTGTATAAATCCCCTTGTCTTACAAGAATGTGTGAAGTGACCATAGCTTCCGGATACTGGAGTCAAGGGGAAACATCTTATGCCTTTATCTCCTCTTTATACTAATACATCCCTTCAGTTACCAGCATACATTGAATGTGTCAGCATAATTTTTCACACTGCTTCAACATTACGTAACTGCTCTATTTGTCTGCAACACTCCGCAGACTTGAATAAGGCAGCGATCCTCCTTTTCCAAAGAGCGTATGTGGGCAGAAAGTGATCGTAGTCGGTATGCCAGCTAACAAGAGTCTCGCCCCATATCCAAAGCTAAGATATAGACAGACGTAACACGTGATTGGTATCAAAAGATACTGATACAAGCTGTTATGATGCAACTACTGCTTCCCTGCTTCTATAGCAATAAAAGTGTAGTAAATTTGTTGCAATTTAAACCTTGAATGGAACGGAGTTGGTTATAGCTGTTTGTCTCACTTGCATGGCTGCAGCCTGTGCAGATGGGGTGGGTACATATAAGAGCTGATGCTCATTTGCAAGTGGCAGTTCCCTCCCCCCTTTTAAAGTGGCTAACAGGTACATTTGTTCATAGCCTTATATTACAATTATTGATTGATTGATTGTTTGTTTTTTTTGTTTTTTTTTAATTCTCACCCCCACTCCCCGTCCCATAAAACATTATCTTCATGGCTCTGGGGATCCATCTGTTTATTACATAGCTGTAGGGGATGGAATGACAAACCATCGGCTTTGACCAATAACATACAGTGAGCTAAAATGGTTCAGTAAACTCTGCCCAAACCCATCCAGAGTTTTATTTGTTCCCAGAGCTTGGACGCAGTCTGGAATAGCTGTGTACTGGCATGCAGACAAGCACACGGTGTACGCAGTCTGAGCAGTGTTGCAATCACCTCACTGAAACCTAAGCCTTTCCCTCTTAATTTGTGTCCCCTTTCAGTTACAAAATGGAGTTGCTTGCAACTATTCCTCAGTGTATCCCACTCCACTGCATTCAGTTGATCCAGCCCAGTGGGTCGGTATCCTGAACGCCAATGAGAATCTACTCAAGGAGAAAGAGCTCCTCATTGACAGGTAGGACAAGTTTCAGGAGGAAGTGAAAAAGAAAAGTAGAGTAATGTTCCTGAGGCTTACTAAGAACAAACTCTGAAGAAATCTCTGTTTCCCTCCCTTGAGCTTTTGGAATTATTCCATGGAAGATAATGTTTTACAAGCCAGTGAGAACAGGTAGTTACTTAAGTAGAGCCTGCAGGTTTTTTTCTGAAGATCCTCTCAAGCTGAATCTATTTGTCAAGTTAAAGATGATCTGTGTTTGTAAGCCTTTTCCCTACTTGGTGGTCAAAAAGGTAGAAGATTTTTAGCCTTTAACCTGCCCATTTGCATTCAGAATATTCTGAATGTCAAGGGTACTCTTCTCAGCTCAGCTGGAGGACTCTCTCAGGTGTATAAGGGATGTTCATTTTAGTCTCACTTTACATGATGTGGCTCTGGGGAGGCTTGACCATAGGTCTGCTCTTCCCAAATACTGGCTGTAAATGCTGGAATAGGCGCTATTGAAACCAGAGCTTAAGCATTTGGACTGAAAATCCCTTCCATGCTCACTGAGTCAGCTTGAGTCTTGGTCCTTTTCATCAGTTACTGCCTCCAGGCAGAGGAGACTCGAATTTTTAGTGTGAAATCGGCAAGGATCAAACTTTTCTCACAAGAATATTTATGTGTGGTTTTTTTTTTTTCCCACCCTCCAAGAGGCAAAACCAGGCATAATCCCAAATGGTGTTCTCTACCCACTGACAACAAAGGCAGTATTTGGCACTAGATTTTGATGGCATTCATGGCAGCTGAAATGCATTATTCCCTCTGTTACCAGTAAAGGGTAGTTTGGCGAAGGGGTCATTCATCAGATCTGATTTTTATTTTGCTAGGCAGAGGCAACATATCTCCCAGCTGGAGCAGAAGGTTCGAGAGAGCGAGCTGCAGGTTCACAGTGCTCTGCTTGGCTGTTCTACCCCCTATGGAGACGTTTGCTTATTGAGACTGCAGGTAGGTGGGAACAGCCAGGGGAGAGCTGAAAACACCATGCTCTGAATTCACTGGCTTCAGTTCTGATTCAGTGAATTCTTCCTAAGCCAGAAGGGCATGCAGGAAAGTCTCTCCTTTGGAGTCTGTCTGTCTTGGTTCATCTGTTTATTCAGAAGGTGGTAAGGGTCTCCAGACTTTTGGAACCACAGAAAAAACCTTCAGTGGTAGCTGCTTGCATTAGTAGCATAACACCATCAGCCTGCAGTGCGCTTGGAGATAGGACATGTGTATAAAATGCTGAAGAGCTGATGAATCTCTTGGAGAGCTGGAACTGCTACTCTGGGAATGGCCATCTTGTGTAACAGGTGGGTCTGACTTGCGGCAAGGAGCCTTGACATTAGTGACAGATTGTCTTCTGTTTCCAGGAGCTGCAGCGGGAAAACACTTTCCTGCGGGCACAGTTCACTGAGAAGACGGATTCCCTTAATAAGGAAAAGATCGAACTGGAGAGAAAGCTGGCTGCTTCCGAGTTGGATACAAGGCATATTCAGGAGACGATGAAGGAGACGGTACAGAAGCATGCAGAGGAAGTAAAGAAGCAGGAAGAGCGGGTATGAATCCCACTGGAAATGCTGGTATAGTGGTTGGGCTGATAAGAGCTTTTTGTTGTCAGGGTGGTATTTGTGGCCTTCTTTGCTCTTTGGACACTTTGTGGCCCCAACCAAAGAGAACCTGCAGACTGTTAGTTGCATTGGCTTCTTTTTGGAAAAGGTGCAAAGTAAAACCTCCAACCTGGTTGTTCTCTGTAACATTCATAGTTTCTAGGGTCAGAAGGGACCCGAGTAGATCTAGTCCGACCCCCTGCCATGGCAGGAAAGATTACTGGGGTCAAACGACCCCAGCAAGGTGTTCGTCTAACCTCCTCTTAAAGCCCCCCAGGGTAGGAGCCAGCACCACTTCTCTTGGAAGTTGGTTCCAGATCCTAGCCGCCCTGACCGTGAAGTCACACCTCTGATATCTAGCCTAAATCTCCCCTCTGCCAGCTTGTGACCATTATTCCTGGTCATTCCTGGCAGTACTTGGGGGAACAGGGACTTCCCCAGCACCTGCTGATCCCCCCTGACTAGTTTGTAACAGGCCACTAGATCCCCCTCAGCCTTCTCTTGTGGAGGCTGAACAAGTTCAGGTCCTGTCGCCTCTCCTCATAGGGCCTGCCTTGCTGCCCCCTGATCATGCGAGTGGCCTCCTCTGGACCCTCTCCATGCTGTCCACATCCCTTTTGAAGTGCGGCGCCCAGAACTGGACGCAGTACTCCAATTGCGGCCTGACCAGTGTCGCATAGAGGGGGAGGATCGCCTTGGACCTGCTCGAGATGCATCTGTGGATGCATGACAAGGTGCGGTTGGCCTTCCTGACTGCGTCCCAACACTGCCGGCCCATGTTCATCTTGGAGTCAATGATGACTCCAAGATCCTTTTCCACCTCTGTACTGACAAGAAGGGAGTTCCCCAA